CATCCAGGTGGTCGAGTACTCTTGAGACTGAGTCCGTGATACGACGCGGTAGAGAGGTGTATCTTCCGCACCTGTTGGTAGATTAGTGTGTTTGTGTATTCAATTATTTCAAAATATTGGACGTTTTTAGTTTGTTCAATATAGTATTAATTAATATCAACTATCGTCAAGCTTCATCAAATTCCTGCCATTATCTGCTAGACATTGGTGTCCTCATGCACAGGCACGCTCAATGAGTAGCAATCTCCCGCACGGTGCTGCGGTGCATCCGCGCCAGCCATGTGCCCGCCATGAACGTCCGGATGCGCTTGCCAAACACCATGAAGATGATGAGGGACAGATTGTTGGCCAGCAGCACGCCCGTGAACGCGCCGGCAATCATTGCCAGGTACCCATGCTCAGTGATCCAGTCCAGCAGGCCAAAGCCCATGCCGAAGCTAATGGCCTGCTTGCCCAGATTCATGGCAATCAGCATCTCGCTAATGTTGGACGTGTAGCTGTCAATGGCGTAGGCGAGCGCAAAGGTAAAGTAAAAGTAGGCGGAGAACTGCGTGATGCCGACGCCGAAAAAGTAGGCAATCCAGTGCAGGTCGCGCGCGGCCGCAAAGCCAAAGATGATGAGGCCTGTGGGGGCCAGCAGCATCGCCGGCAGCATGGCGCCCAGGCGCATCTCCGACTCGCGGATGCCGCCGTTGCGGCGCGTCAGCCGCGCGGCGAGAAGGTCGGAGGAGGCCGTAAAGGGCACGGCCAGCACAAAGCCGATGAGCGAGGCCAGCGCGATGAGGCCGGAGCTGGTCTCGGACCAGTTGTAGGGGGGCGCCACGATCTTGAGGGGGAAGATGTAGTTGAAGGTCAGGGCGCCGAGGCCAATGTAGATGCCGTACGTCGACACGACCCAGAAGACGGGCGGGACCAAAAAGTAGGTAAAGCTGCGGACCATCATGATGAAAAAGGGCGAGTCGCGCTCCCAGACGCCCCAGAACTTGAGCTGCTCGAGGCGTGACTTGCGGCGCGGCACGGACCGGCCCGTCGCGCCCGCCGTGCCCGCCATGTTGCTGCTGTTGTCGTCGTGCTGCACGGCCGCCTTCTCGCCGCTCTCGCCGCCCTCGCCACCGTCGACGGCGACATTCATCGACGTGGCCGTCGGCGACACGGCGGGCGGCACGCGGTGGTAGGTCGTCTCCTCGACGACAAAAAAGGCGACAATGAGCAGCGCCACGGCAAAGGCAAACTCGACGTAGAAAAACAGCGGCCAGGAGTAGCCGCCGGCCAGCATAAAGCCGGCAAACATGGGCCCCGTCGAGCCGAGGCACAGGCACACGGTATAGTAGCCGAGACGCTTGCCGCGCTCGTGCAAGAAGAAAATGTCATTGACGAGCTGCACGGGCAGCGCCTCGCAGACGCCGGAGCCGAAGCCGTGCAGCACGCGGCAGGCCATGAGCGAGCCGTAGGTTGTGCACTGCGAGCAGGCAATGAGGCCGGCGCAGTAGACGACCATGGAGCCGAGCATGACGGGACGGCGGCCAATCTTGTGGTAGAGGGGCACGAGAATCAGGGAGCCGAAGCCAAAGGCCAGGTTGGCGTAGCTGATGATGTTGGAGGCGATGCCGGGCGGTATGTCAAACTCTTTGGCGTAGATGCCAATGTAGACGGAGGGGCCGAGCAGGGCGGAGTTACCCAGAAACGAGTAGATGGCGCAGACGGCCAGGATGAGCGACTTTTTGAGGTTGGTCCACTGCAGCGGGTCGTTGGGGTCTTCGGCAGGCACGGGATACAGGGCCTGGCCGTAGGCGGTGTCGTCTCCCTCGGCGGCCCGGAGGTCGACGGTGCCGGGAATGTCGCCTTCCTTGGCATGGCTATGACGGTTAGGGGGGCGAACAGGCGATCAATCGAAGCGCGGACAAAGCGACTTACCTGTGCACGAGGTGCCTCTGTGGATCAGACATGGCGGCAGAGAGTGGGACGACGAGAGGAGAAATGAAGGGCCAGAAGCTGAGGAGGATGAGTGCGATGAGAAGGGGAAACGGGAGAAGGAAAGAAGTAAAGAAGTAAAGGAGAACAGGAGAACAGGAAAGACAAAACAAGACAGCAAGAAAAACAAAAGAGGAGAACCTGGTCGACCCCGGAACGATAAAGCTATATAAAGAAGGGATGCAACGACGGGGCAGAGAGGGCAAGCTGGAGACAAACTGCAGGGGACGGTGTGGGACGAGAAGACTGCATGGGGATACGGTTGTACGGAGTATTGGTGCGTCTTTGATGCAGATATTTCGTCAAATCCTTCCAGCTCGTTAACGGGTAAGAGAGTAGGGACGACAGAGGGAGAAGGATCATAGACAGTTGCAGCTACAAGTTGCAGCTACATGCACAAAACACTAAGACTGTTTATGAGCAGGGACCTGTTTCTGCTGTCTGCCTCCCGATTGTTGTTGTCTTCTGTTAACCTCCCCCAGTATTGACTTATACGTCAAATGCCCGTCTCCGCATTTCTCTGTCCTCGACTCTTAGCTTATTTACCCCATACCCCCCTTCTCGCCTACTCCTCCTGAGCCACACTTCGGCAGTCGTTTTGGACCAGTAATACAACTTTGATGGTCTTGGGCCGATCTCAGAATGTGTCCGACATGGGGAAGAGTGACTCGTGAGTGCGCTGTATGTACTTCATCACCGGCCCCCACCGCCTATTCTTCCCCCGTTCCCCTCACCCTCCTTCTCGCCTCTTTCTTCCCTTCCAGTCCACCATTCTCTAGAATAGGCTAGACAACGCGGCCACGCGAGCGATAGTTATGGAATGTGTGCAAGGAGGTTAAATTGTAATATCAAGCAAATGAAGCAAATGAAGCTGTATGGAGGGTGGGCGGGCTCGACAGCAAAAAAGTAAAATATAAAATAAAATAAAAATAAAAACTCGGTTGTGCTTCTGGGCGGATGCATTCCGTACAGCCTACGTGAACCTCCCGTCGTCCACGCTTCTGGACTAGTCAATAATGACATGCTTGGCAAGAGGGGAGGTTCAAAGTGCTCAAGGACAAGGAGGCGGGCTCACTTATGGTTGTGGTCGGTTTGATATGTTTATTTGCAAATACGACACGCTCCTTTCCTGACTTTAAGTTTACTATAGTTTCTTCATTCCACAAGAGAATACTACACAACAAGCGTTTCTGTCTTCCGCTCTTCTCGGCCGGGGAAATCGGCGATGCCTTCGTCCAAGGCCAAGCTTGTTCAGGTATGGGATTGATCCGGGGTAGTGCTCTGTAGTTCTGGGGAAAGACGACTTTCCCAGGTCTTTTGTGGGGACTCGACACCAGTGGGGGACGGCGCCAGCAACATCCTGCACATTATTTCGTACGCAGTTGTGACAACCCGGACAGTGCTGGAGTATTCAAGTCGGTGGAACTTACGTAGTAAGTCAAGCAAAGACCATGATGCGTGGCCAGACCGGCATACGAAATAGTTTCCGCTTGTTTGGGGTTGGAAAAAGAGGGGAAGGATTGGCGGAGTGGCAGGGCGGTTGAACAGTCGGCGGTATCAACCCGAAATCGCAGCCAAAACCGTTGTGGCCCAATTGAGGAGGCGTCTTGTTAACAAGGTCTTGGCTGGGAGCTGACAAGAAGACAAAGGTGAACGCAAAATACAGAAAGCTGAAATGTCGTGTGACCAGAAACCTTTATACTAACTCTGTTTTATGTAATTAAAAAAAATAGACAATGACGAAAACAGAGTTGGCTGGAACACCACGTGCGATATCTGTGCGTTTAGCTGCGCCATCGTTATTCGGTGCAAGCCCGAAAGCTAAAAGCCTACGGTCCATTTGTTTGACTTGCATGAACACATTCTGGAAAGACATTACTTGCCTCTTTTATGACTGACGAGTCTGTGCGTTGAGAGTCGATTTCACCTCGTTCTCGGCCTCTGCTCACCAATGAGCCTTGTCAGTCATTCAATTTCCCTTTGTTTTGGTGATGACTTGCAGACTGACATGGATTAAACAATTGCAAATGGTAACTCCAGAGCAATAATGGCAATTCATGAAAAGCGCGGTTGACCAACGCCGCCTAAATTGATGTGCAACGCTTTGTAAAAACAACATCAGGACAACGTCAAGTCTTCGTGCTGTCGGTTACTTGATAGTATTCGTTGTGCCGTCACCTATCGTCCGTCGTGCAGGTGTTTGTCAATCCTCTTTCATTTACGCTTTCTACTCTTTTGTCTTTCCATTTCTCCGTGTCTTTTTATTTTCCCCTTCGCCATATTTTTCCGCCATTCTCCATCGTCCCTCCTCCCGTCTCACGTTGCATCCCTCCCGTGTTCCCGCGAGTGCATCCAACTTTGCCGTACATAATCAAGAGAACACATTGCTCCATCATTGGTCAGAGCATTTGATCAGTTGTACATATATGTGTTTGTGTCTATATATATATGCTTCAAAGTATCCCCAAATGTTTTCAGAGTCCAAGTTTTAAGGACTAACAAATTCGTTGAAGTCAGACTGTACATATGAAAGGATCGCTCTGTTCGCTGCCGTCCGTGACCTCCGTGGCGAAGTAGCTGTCAGTTCCTGTCTGCTAGGCAGGAAGACTTTATGTAATGTTTTACTAAGAAGTCAGTGATAAAATAAACTGTATCATTTATAGGGTGTGTACTCTCGATTTTGGAGTGCATATGTGTAACGATGCCGCAAACAAAATGTCATGGTTAGGTACATCTCGGATGTACCATTTTCAGATTGATGACCCCAGTTTTCCGCCTCGCGGGAAGGAGCCTCCGTAATTCCCATTGGCCAGGACGTTATCGGCTATCGCTGCCTAGTGTCACGTGCCAGGCGATCCATGCATTTGGTGGGGCAAGAGTTGCCAATAATAGCTGGGACTTCACAACACAACTCACCACAGCGCAACTTGCGCCAGACAAAACACCTGCGAGTCTTTCGCAAACGGCGCGAGACACGCAGCGAAACAACGAGGACACTTTTCTTTTTCTTTTTATTTCTTTTGTCGACCATGGCTGGTGGAAGCGGGTTCGCAGGCAGCAACACCGGTGCGCAGGCAGCCCGGCCGCCTGTTGTCGAGACCCAGATCAAGCCGCCACCGATTCCGCCACAGGCCTTGCGGCCGCCACAGCCGATCTCGTCAGTCGCGTCATCGTCATCGCTGTCGTCCACGTCGTCGGCGTCGTCAAGCTCGTCGGACACCACAGGCGGCGTGCTCACGTCGACAGCACCTGTGCCAGCAACAAACAGCGGCGCAGGACCAGCATCGTCAACGTCATCATCGTCATCGACAGCGGCACCTGCAACTGTACCTGCCTCGGCAGCTGGTGCTGCAGGACCACCTACAACGACAACCGTACCGGCAAGCACCACTCCTCAGACTAGCATCAGCCCATCGGCCGTGCAGCAAACGCCGGTGCCACCGCCCGTCCCTCCCATGCAAACACAACAGCCACAACCAAAGACGGCTACGCCCGTTCCGCCGCCCACCGTACCGCTGATCCAGGAGACACCGGTGCCGGCGCCGTCGATTCCGGCCTTTGCCTTTTCGTCCATGTCGCCGCCGGCCGCCGGCAGTGGAGGCAGTGCAACGCCCAAGACGTCACCCAAGGCCGGCGGGGCGACGGCAGCGGCGGCGAGCAAGGCGGCCAAAGTGTCGCCCAAGGCAGCAGCAGCGCCCAAGGCGGCCAAACCGGCGACCAAGCCGGCAGCGGCTGCCATAGCTGCGCCCACAGTTGCACCTGCAACTGCACCTGCACCTGCGCCTCCGCCACCACCGCAGCAGCGAGCCTGGTCCCCACCGCGACCGCCCATCTCGCCCGTGCTGCCCGCCGCAGAACTGCCACCGCACCTGGCGCCGACGACGACGGGCTCGGGCACCTTTTACACGCCCAACTTTGTTTCTGGGCGGGCCATCTTTACGCATACGGAGGCTGCCCGCGAAGCAGCAGCACACAAGGCTGCAGCGGCGGCGGCGGCGGCGGCAGCAGCAGCAGCGGCTGCAGTTGAGCCGGTGCGTGGTGCCGGTGCCGCCGCTACAACAGCGTCCAACGACAACTCCAACGACAACCCCAACGGAGACGCACCGCTCCCTCCAGCACCGGTCCCCATCGACTTTGCCAGCAACACGGACGTGCTCGCCCTCCAGAGCACGATTGCCATTTTGCAGCTGCAAAAGAAGAGGGCGACGGCAGACATCCAGGCGCTGCACAGGGCCAAAGAGGCCGCGCTGGCCCAACCCGAAGCATTTATGCGGCAGCTGCAGGGGATCCGCGAAGGCGGCGCTGCGGCAGACGACTCCTCTGTAAGCGACAGCGATAGTGGTGACGAGGACGACGACGACAATTACGGCAACGGTGCCGGTCTTGGCGCCGCCGATAAGGACGGCGACGTGGATATGGTGACGGAGACCGACGAGGGCAGGCCGTCGTCCGGGACGGTTCATCATAATACCGACAGCACCTCCATTTCGACGTCACCGACCCGCCTCCTGCCAACGCCCGACACGCCGTCCGTCCATGGATCGGCGTCGTCCAACTCCACGGGCGGCCAGGGCGGGCGTGCAGCACCACCCGGCCGCCGCATGGCTACCGCACGCGGTCGGCTCAGCCAGGCCAACCGAAACGGCGACGGCGGCGGCGACGTTGCCGCGCTCCCCGACCTCCGCAAACTGCCGCAACCGCAAAACGTCGTGCGCATGCCGCCCATCAACTGGAACAAGTACGCCGTCGTCGGCGAAGGGCTCGAGAAGCTGCACGCCGAGCAGATCCGCCGCCCGCCCGTCGGTGCGCCGGCATCGGCCCGTGTTGTCGAGGGAAGCGCGCAAGGCGCGGCGTCTGCCGTGTACCAGTTTGCGGGCGGCCACCACAACGCCGCCGCCGCCGCTGCCCAGGCGCCAGCCGCGCCCGAGTACCAGGGCATAGCGGCACCGTACGACCCGCTGGGGGACACGCTGGGCGCGCCAGGCGCTGGGTTGGCTGCCCAGCCACCGCAGCCGCCGCCTGCACCTGCTGCACCTCCTGCACCGCTCGCTCCGGCCACGGTCCAGACGACCGACCCCTTCGGTATCCAGCATGGTGTCCAGAATGGTGCCCTTGCCAGTGGAAATGGCAAGGGCACGGCAACGACACCCGTCAACCCGGGTGCCGCCCAGACGGCGGCAGCCACGGCCGCGCGACGCGGCCGGTCGTCTATGTCGCGGCGCTAGAAAAGTCACGGCGGACGACGGGGTGTGCAGCGAGGTGGGCGCGGACATGCGCGTGGGCGCGGTAACAGGGTCACCGAAATGTAGTTTCGAGGTGATGATTCCCCGTGTACATAGCTACAGCTTTTTGTTCGATTGTACTTCTCTTTTTGTCTTTTTTTTCATTATTTTTCGTGTTTATCTCCTATTAGATCGAAACATCGCTGCGGCGTTGGGGTTTGCTTGGGCTTTACGGATTGGAAAACATTGGGAGTATGGGCCACGCGGAAATTATGCAACGAAGCCGGAGAATTACGACAGAACCAACGAAATATGAAAATGACTACAACTTTACGAGGCTTCTCAATGTGGACGTGTTTATATGTAAGATTTGCATGAATCCGGCTGTTTCTTTTCTTTCTTTTGTTTTCTTTCATTTCTTCCTTTTGTTTTCTTTCTTTTCTTCCTTTTGTTTTCTTTCTTTCTTCCTTTCTTTTCTTCCTTTCTTTTCTTCCTTCTCTTCCTTTCTTCCTTTTCTTTCTTCTTTTAACGTAGACGATATACGATCGACCGAAAGCATGGAGTGTCCACGACGGCTCAGCGGTTTAGCCGCCACCTCTCGGCACAGATCAAGCAGCAATATACCAAGAAGCCTGACGTCTATACGAAACCGTTCAAACCGTTCAGTGTAGAGATGCCACGACTGAGCGTCGTGTTCTTTTGAGGAGAGGGTGTATAAAGTTTTATTTATTTGCATTTTTTTCTGCGTCGAGTTCTAAGTCCGTACATACGTTTTGTCTTTTTTCTGTCGGTCTTCGTCCTCCACACGGCAACCCACTGTGATGACCATTCCCGACGCTCGCCCTCGTCCTCGCTGGCGACGCATCATGGCGGCCATTGTCGCCGCCTGCTGCGTCGCCTACCTTTTCTTGTTTGTCCAGTTGCATGCGAGAGCGGGCCAAGCGTTTCCTTCTCCGTCATCCTCGTCATCCTCGACGACAGCTTCGCTCTCCAACAACCTCCACCTCACCGAAAAGGAATGCCGCGCCGCGTTCCCAGGCCTCATGGACCCCATCGACAAACAGGTCCGCCGCGGTCCGTTTCCGCTGCACCCGGCCTCCGATCTCGGCCCGCTGCAGGCGCGTGTTCGCAACGGCCGACTCCGCATCCTGTCTGCCGAGAAACACAGCATGCTGCCGCCCGAACTGCTCGACGCACGCGTGGCAACGCTGCACCAGATTGAGCGGGCGCTCCTGACAGCGCCATCCTCGCCTGGCGGTGCAAACGCACTCGACACCGTCTTTTCCGTCAACGTCCAAGACCAGCCGTACGGCTCCGCCTGGACGTACTCGCTGCCGGCCTACGCGGCCCCTACGGCCGGCAACGCCCCCATCGGGCGCGCCTTTCTCATGCCGCACTTTTCGTTTTGGGCGTGGCGGCCGCGCATGGTGGGGTCGTTTGCGCGGGCGGCGGCGGCCATTGACGCGATCGAGGCGCGTCTGCCCTTTGCCCGAAAACAGGCGCAGGCCGTCTGGCGCGGCACCGCGCGGTTTGCGAGCGCGCACCACCCGGCGCTGCGGACCGACCTGCTCAAGGCGACACGCGGCCAGCCCTGGGCGGACGTGCAGGAACTGGCGTGGCTGCCGGAGGTGGTGGACAGCGACAAGGACAATGCCACGAGGGCCGTGAACGCGCTGGCGATGCAGGACGCCAGCAACGGCCTGATGATTGAAGACTTTTGCCGGTACAAGTACGTGGTGCACACCGAGGGCATCACGTACAGCGGGCGGTTCCAGTTCCACCAGCTGTGTGGCAGCGTGGTGCTGACGGCGCCGCTGGCGTGGATGCAGCACACGACGCACCTGGTGCGGCCGCTGTATGCGTCGGATGTTTTGGGGGGAGGCGGCGGCGACGCCAACGACGACCGCCGCGGCGCGACGACCACCCCCGACGAAGAAAAGGCGTGGCCGCACGCGCCCCCCGACGCGGCCAACATTGTGTTTGTGGCCCCCGACTGGTCGAATCTGGGCGCCATGGTGCAGTGGCTGGAAGACCACCCCGCCGTGGCCGAGGGCATTGCGCGGCGGCAGCGCAGTCTGTTTGCCAGCGGCCCGCACGGCCGCGGCTACCTCAGCCCGGCCGCGGAGGTCTGCTACTGGCGGGCGCTTCTCGCCGGCTGGCGCCAGGTGGTGCAGTACAACGACACAGAGGTGGGCGAGGGTGTGCCCTGGGAGCTGTTTTCGCTGGAGCCAAGGTGGTAGGGGGGGGAGGGGAGGGGGGGGCTTTGTAGTGGTGCGGACAGACGCATGTGGAAGCTGGATCTCGTCACTCGCTGCGACTGGCCCTCCGCCGCCGCCGCCGGCCCGCTGGTGCCTGGGGCTCGACCTCCATCATGTCCAGCCACTCCAGCGCAAACCCGACGAGAATCCGCGACCAGTCCTGCACCACCGCCCGGTCCACGTGCTGTCCGTCGTCCAGGAGCGTGCCCGCATGCGCGGGCTTCGCGTCTGGCACGACGGGCAGGACGGCGACGCCGCGGCGCATAAAGGGGATGTGGTCGTCCCGGTCGGTGGCCCAGCCGCTGGCCAGGTCGAGTTGGTGGACAGGGGTGGCGTGGTCGGGCAAAAAGGCGGCCGAGGGGTCGTCTGTGGCCGTGCCCAAGCCGCCGCCGCCGCTGCTGCTGCTGCTGCTGCTCGTCAGTAGACCCAACCCGCGCAGGCGCTGCTCGACCCGCGCCATGGCCTGGTAGGCCCAGTGGGTGGTCTGGTACCGCGACGGCACGCGCGGTCGGCTGCCCCCGAGCAGGTCCAGAAGCAGCAGCAGCGAGATCTGGTTGAGGCGGTTCGGGTAACCGTAGAGCGAGGCCGCCAAGGCCGGGTTGGTCTCCCTTTCCCAGGCCGCGGCCAGCCCTTTGCTCCCCGAGACGTCTGCCGTGGCGCCGCCTTTGTCGTTCTCTTTGCCGGTGGGCACGCCGTCCACAAACACCACCTGCAGCCCCATGTCCATTGGCACCGTCCCGCCTTCGCCCAGCTCCTGCATCTCCCGGTACATTTGCGCGGCAAACCGGTCCAGGCTCCGCGCCACGTGCAGCAGCAGCGCACACGACACGGCCGCGTCCGTGGCCCCCACGTACCCGGCCGGCACGCCCGTCGAGGGCGTCGCGTAGTGCGTCGCCAGTGTCAGCAGGTTGGCCTGCCCCGGCCGCGTCCAGGGCGGCTCGCGCCGGAACACGAGGTTGGCCAGGTGGTGCGCCACAAACTTTTTCTTCTTGTCCTTGGGGTCCTGCGTGTACGTCGTCGCGTTCTGCCACTCGACCGTCCAGTCCGGCAGGTTGGCCGCAAAGTACTGCACGAGATGGTCTTGGATGTCGGCGTGGCCTTCGGAACCCGGCGCGCGCGGCTGCAGAAACGGCGCCAGCAGGTCGCCCGCCACAGGGTCGAGCTCGGCCTCCGACACACCCGGTACTTGTCGGAGGAAATTGTCAGAGAGCGGCTTGTATGCGAGGCCGTACCGGGCGAGGGCGAGCGAGGCGAGGAGAGATATTGAGAGGTGCATCGTAAGCGTTGAACGGATGTGAGATGTGGGATGTGGAATGATAGGAAGGAAGGGGGCTGTTTTGTTTCTCAGTTGTTTTCTTTCACCTCACTCAGCCTTGTGTCGTCGTGATGTGAAGCTGTATGGATGACTAGGATGGTCGAATGAGAGTACTAATAATGGGCCAAAGTAACAAAAATAAATGGCAAAATAAATAGCAGAAAAATAACAGAAATAGGCGGGCACGAGTCAACGCCGAGACTGATTTCCGTCAACGATACTCGTCACGCCCGAAGCTTGACGTTTTGATTTTCTGATTTACTGATCGTCTTTCTTGTCTTTCTTGTCATTTCTTGTCTTTTCTATTCTGCCTAGTCTTTCTGGGCAAAGAACGACCGTCTGATGTTTCTCGTCTTGTTTCTCGTCTTCTTTTTCTTTGCTTTCATGTCCGCATTCATGCCCTCGCCGTCCCCTTTCCTCGTACCCTTGCATCGTCCCTGACTTTCCTCCTCTCCCTCCTCTCAACTTGGACCCAGGGCCTGAAACAAGACTTGAAGCAAGTCCAGCCGACTCCTGGGACGAGCAGAATGCGACGTGCCGCAGATGTTCGTTTGATCGCCGGCCAATCAGCAGTCTGCATTTCGTGTAAGTGCACGGTCGTGCCGGACTCAGTACAACGCTAAACAGACAAAACCCGCTGAATGTCGTATTTTACAGCGCTGTGAATTAGGACCTACAACCCCCGTGGACCATTTTACAGCGCTGCAACTATGACCTACAACCCCCGTGGCACTTCTCCAACACGACGTGTTTCAGGACCGACGACGAAAGGCGTGAAAAAGGAGGACCAGGAAGAAACAGGAAACAGTAGCGTCGAGAATGGGACAAGAACCACGACAGAACAAGAGACACTACGACGTCGAGACGCACGAACAATAAGCTTGTTGGCAAAAGAGGAGACGGGGAGACGCCGTAGAAGGCATGGAGGATGCTATTTTTGATCGCCATGGATTTGTAGGGCAACAACAACAGAGGAAAAGAATATCACAAAGAAGAAGAGCGCCGATGAGAAGCAACCAGAGGAAGGGGTTGATACAAAACCAGTGTGAGGCACGTCAAGTCGAGAGGCTGGTCTGGTTTCTTTTGGTTGCCTCGCTTCGTCTTTCTTTCTTTTATCCTGTTTTTGTTTCTCTTTTCCTCTTCTCCTTTTTCCCAGTCTCCTCTCGTCTTGTATCTCATCCTACCCACTTCGTCTTTCTCTTTGGTTTTGTCTTTTGTGTTCTTCTTCCTTTCCTTTCTTTTCCCTTCTCACCAGGCTGGCCCTCCGGTCTATTTTCTATTGACATTCAAGTCTCGATACGTCTTGTTTTATTCATCCACTTAAACTCTTTTTCTCTATTCCTCCTTCACGCCACACGCACACCCACAATGAACGCAAAGTACGAGTCCGTCGGCCGCCCGGCCAACCACCACGACGACGACCTTGACGACGAGGACCTCGATCTCGAACTCGACCTGGCCCTCGGCCGCCACAGCAGCAGCAGCACCGAGGTCGACGAGAGCCTGCTGGGCGGCAAGAACAACAAGCTCGGCGGCACCAGCGAAGACAAGCTCGACCGCCGCCTCGCCCGCCAGCAGCAGCGCGCCCTCCAGCGCCGCCGCCGCTCCGTGCGCGCCTGCATCGGCACCTGGGCGCGGTGGGGCCTGGACACGATCCTGCTGCTGGCCATCCTGGGGCTTGTGGCCCGCCAGCAGACGATGTCGTCGTCGTCTGCGTGTGCCGGTGCCGGCCCCGGCCGCCTCCTGGACTTTGGCGGCGACTTTACGGGCGTCGGCCCGCGCGTCAGCCAGCAAATCACCCGCTTCACCTCGGACCCGTCCTATGCGCCCATGAACACGTCCGAGTTCTTCACCGAGGCCGTCCTCCAAAAGTGGAACCACCTCATGCCCGTCGGCATGGGCTTCGTCTGGGTCAACGACACCCACCGCTACCACGACCTGCCCACGCCCATCGACTGGCCCGACAAGACCGTCTTCACCACCTCCGTCACCCACCAGATCCACTGCCTCTTCACCATCGCCCAGACCTACTCCGGCCTCACCAGCGGCCACCCCATCCCGCCCGACCACCACTGGCACATGATCCACTGCATGGACTACATGCGCGAGGCCATCCTGTGCAGCTCCGACATGGCCCTCGAGGGCCACGAGACCACCTTCCCCGACGACAATGGCGGCTCCGACGGCTGGGACTCCAAGCACGTCTGCAAGGACTACCGCGAGGTCAAGGCTTACCTCGAGAGCGTGCGTGCCTATGACGACCAGTTGATCTACTAGATGGCGCCGTGCTGTGCGCATCGTAGGAGATGTGTCTCTTTTGGTTCCCTTTTTTTTGTCTCATCCCTGTTCGTCATCTTTCTTCGTTCATCTTCCTCTTTCGCTTCTTGTATATATGGATCGGGCATTCTAAAATCCACGAACACGTTAAAAAGACTACCAACACAAATAAACTTTATGATCGGGACCGCAAGGAACATGCTGTGACGGAATGAATATACGATCCGTTGAAATGGCGTTTGCCCTCCTTTGGGCATTCTCTTGAATCATGGAATTCGCAGGCAGGGGCCGATGCAGGAACGCTGACAACACAGCAAGGTAAGGATGGCACCACCGTCGGTAGGACTTCTCTAGGCTGTGATGGTCCATTGCCATGATCATCTCTTACCTCCTTACTTTGTGGCTGTCCAGCGCCCCAGCATGCTCACCGAGACAGCATGCCAATGCCAATGAGCAGGGCCACAAGCGGCGCAAGGATGCGACACTCACAAAGCAATGACCAGATCAGGGAATCATCCAGAAAGGAGCACGGGCGTACAGAGGACACAGCAAAGAGGCACAGAAAGTAACACGCAGCGATAGGACAAGCGACGATGTGTTTTACGACGTACACAACGAGGCGGGAGAGGGCAGTGGCGGTGCCCGGTCCGCTGTGAAACGCCCATCCGCACGACGGTGTTCTATGCAAGATATGTTGTTACGCAGCACAGTGCTTCTTCCTTCCTACTCGTAGCTTTGTTCGACTGGTTCTGCTCTGGCTACATGTTTGTCCCATGGTCGCAGTGATTGCTTCGATGGCCGTGGCGGTAGTGCAGTAAAGGTCTCGTTTGTTCAACAAACCCCCCTTTTTGCTTATATGCTGTCTCGTAACGGGCATGTGAGGAGACGGCGGGAATGATGCATGTGCGCGAACCAAAGAGAGGGGAAAGTAGCTGGTATCAGGGAATGTCTTCGGCAGCACTCTGGAGTTGCATCCCCCATGCGTCCTTTGTCGGCTCTACTCCGTTTTCTTGTAAGAATGTCCCTGCAAGGCCCTGGACGAGTTCAATGTACACAAAACCAAAAGAAACTGGAGATGGCAGGGGGTGACGCACCCGAAGCAACATCAGAGTCCCTATAGACTGTCATGCACGAATCTGGACGCAGGGTAAGCAGACACAGCAGACATCCTCATTTGCACTTCGGTCACGATTTCGACGCTTGACTCTCATCCGACGGGACCGTGAGGTCAAACACTGTGACATGCTGGCCATTATGTCGATTTCTGTTGGGCCTATTTGTTTTCGTCGCTTGATTCTCGGCTTCTTTGGAGAGAAAACAATCCTTTGTGTGGGGAGACTTTTTGGTCTCGTGTCAATGGGGGTGGTACCAGGCCTTTGTCGCAGACCGATGGGTTCTGTTGGTGCCACAGTGGAGGGCCTTCCTCCAACGCCACTGCATTCTCAGTCTGCACGGTAAAGCATCGGCGAGGCCAGTCTAGGAACTAGAACTAGACGCAGGATGAATCCAAAGGTGGCCCTCATGCATCCCAGTATTAAACACGATGATGACCCATCCGTAGTGGCCAGAGAGGGTGTGAGGTGGGCGGCTTCCTGTTTCTGTGGGCCTGGCTATGTCGAGTGACCGTTTTTTCGCTTTCCTTCTGCTGACGAGCACCCAAGCACTTGGTTCCAGTCCAACTTTTTGCCATGGGACAAAACGGGTGTGGGGCTCGCTCATTGGAGTTTGCTGTCGAGGGCACACCACTGATATCAAGTTGAGAAAGCTGCTCCACATCTTGACATGGGTGCGAGTATATTTCTGGAAAGCAAGAAAGTCCTGATATCGGCAAGAAGAGTTTACCTTTGAAATGTCCATCTCCGTCTTGCAAGACTTGCTCTTTGTCGTTCCCCTGGCAAAAGTTCTGTGTTAAGGGGGCTGACCAAGATGGCACAGGGAAAGTCAAAGGAAAAGTGAAGCGGAGAGCCGTGACAAAAGGGAAAACGGGTCGTCGGTTGGATGGGCCAGAGACACCTTGCAGTATGCCAGGCCAAAAGGCCCATTCAAAACTAGGCCCGAGAGTATCGGACCTGCAAGGTGAAAGCCCGCGCGTGTGCCAGCTCATGCTGCGTTGTTTATATTGCACCTCCTGCTACATCGATCTTCTGCACTTTTAGCATTCGGACGTGGAGTAACAAGAAGAGCAAGGAAGTAAGAAATAAGAAATAAGGACTAGGAAATAGGAAATAGAAAACAGGGAGACTCGGGGGAAAGAATTGCAGACGTGTGTCTCCAGGTGGCTGGCTTATGATGTGCATGCAGGCAATTGGTCAGAGGCGAAAGAGACGCTGGCGTCTTCACTGTCCATGTCCTGTGCTCCCGTCCAATATCGGGTCTCGACATATCGGTTTCCAAATGTGTTTTGTCTTTTTGTTTCGAGCGCAGCATTCGTCCAAGGAAGTGATTGTCTTTCCCATAAGTTTCGGTGAACAGGCAAACCACGCTTGGCAAGAGCCACCGAGCTCTTTCTGTATCCTCCTCTTTCCTGCTGCTGTGTGTCTTCTTGAATCTTGGGAAAGAGCGACGGGCAAACATATTTGCACAAAGGTGTATCTTTTGCCCGTGTTACCGGGAAGGAGCAAGCGGAAAGACCAGTATTGAGAAGGACCAGGCCCACTGACATTCACAAGTGCCAAAACGTTGGACACCAGAGGTTAGCAGCAAAAAAAAAAAAAGGAAAGCAAAAAAACCACGCAACTTGTTTGGGGGGCTGTCTGCGCGCTAAAATACAATAACGAACAATGTACCCTTGCAACACCCCGTCTCGACCAACCAACGACGACATACCCCTGTATCATTTTGCCTGGTGTTGTTCCCATCCCGCGTTGAAAGCGAACGGAGAAAACCACTTTGTTTGGCTATGAAAAGGCTAGGCTTTGCCTGAAAGACAACAAAATGGGCACGGGATACGGGATACGGGAGTGTCTTGGAGAGTGTTGTATTCTATGTCTCCCTTGTCTCACCGGGACCCAATCATCCAGCATTCAGACGCCCATACTGCTTCTTTTCTATCGTCTGACCCTCGTATTGTCGGTCGGCGTTGGGGCTTCCTTCGAGGGGATCATTCTGTCAGTTGAGGCGAGAGAAACATAGCGAATACAAACCACAGGAGAAAGAGCTCGCCCCTACAACATGCTTCGTACTTGGCAGGGCTTGGCCAAGAGGAGATGTCCAGACACTTTGTGCAAGTCTGCAAGTGGCCTCGACAGGTCGATAGTGAGGAGCTTTTGACGAATTACAGAGTTAGATGATGGGCGACCGAGAAATGTGCACCATTACAATCTCAATGTCTTTGGTTTTCCAGCGCCTCGGGTGCTATATTTCTTAAAGTATCTTACCTGTGCCGCACGCGCCTTTGCAGTACATCAGATGCATCACCCGGCAACTGGAATTGGCTTCCTTTATCTATGGCATTTAGGAATAAGAGGAAGAAGAAGCCAAGTAGAAGAAGAAGGCAGCGGTGACTTTCGCAAAACTTGTATACTTTACCATTTATACACCATTCGCCAAGTTTACTCGCGTGTTGGCAAAAGCTGACGACAAAGAGCTACCTGTCAATACAGTCCTTCGTACGCACTAACACCGCTATCAGGTACTTATCAAGTGCGCTTTTCTCGTCGGTTTGCATGACGTGTTGGTCTCTAGCGGCAAGGTCGCCATGACCGACCGACTTCGCGGACTCCGGTTTCGCCATCAACTATCGCAACTACTGCTTTCCGTCACATTGTATTTTCTAATAATTTCTTGCCATATGACTGGATGCTTCCTCGTATTCCGAATCAAAAATGTATTATTACTGAGTACGTGCGTTGCGTCGTTCATGTAACAAACAAAAACGATCCAACAATATAGATACTTTGCTCAGCCGTGGCAACCGGGCGTGAATGGAATGCAGCGGGAATGACAGTCTTGCCGCATCATAATTATTAGCACAGTGAGCTTATTCGATATCCAGAGAGCCAATCCACCCCAGACTTAGAAGAGTGTTGAGCTTCCTTGGTTGTAATTAGAATGCTTGCCATCCCCCAAGATTGACGGGATCAGCGAGAGGGGGATGTTGAATCGAGCTGACTGCACACGAGTTCTTGTTCTGTCGAGGCAAATCGGAAGCTTCCGGTGGGCTTGCAAACGACACTAGGTGACACACTAGCCCTTTCTCTATGTACTCCGTATTCCAATTCCTCTTATGTGCTTCCCGATTTCTTATTGGCAATGTGGCACACTCCTAACTGCCTTCTCATCTTCTTGTTGTCGTCGTCACATCCTCGTGACCGGAATGCTTAACGACGGTGATCTATTTATTCATAGATTTTGTCTGCAAAACTAGATTCGGGTGCGGCCTCTCACTTTGGTAAGGTAACCTTTGGCCTACACAGAATTCTCTGTGAGATCTACCGTAGTTTGCATGTTTCGGCACGGTTGAGAGACGAAACCAATACTCCATAAAGCACCGACAGATGGCTATTCCCGGCAATACGATGTACTAAATGACGATAATAGTAATCTGCCACAGAGCTTATCGTCTAGGAGGAACCAGCCGGAGACCTCACGATTGATGGCCGTAATCTAAATCATATCAGCGCCATTGACGATTTGTATCTTACCCTTGTCACCTGTGTTCATCTCTTTTGAGTCCTTACTGCCCTTGGAGTTCCAATGTCCAACCTGTGGGATGGGAAAGAGAGTAGCCCACGAGACGAACAAAAAGGGGCCAGGCCTTTTGATGGAGTCGTACAACATACGATGTACTCCTTACGCAGCACAGACTTACTCTTGTACACACGATACGGCATGCAATATGCCGCTAATGGACCCGGGACTGTATTGGTTTGTCTCACACTCCCATTCTTTCGCCGTTCTTCTCTTCTTTCTCTCTTTCCGCTGTCTAATACGAAATACTTAGTCTATTCAGGAGAGAAAAGCTGACTTGAAACAAGGCTATGATCGTAATAGCAAAGAGA